TGTGTGGGGGGGGTCATTTTGCCACAGGCAGCACAAAAGATGTCTCAGAATAAAGGAATGAATTTGAACTATCTAACATTCTTTGGTACATTTATCGGCGAATGGAATAAGGTGTGTACATTTGTACGTGGATGACAACGACAACATCTTTAAATAGGCCTACAATGATATGACGTTCGTTAAACAGAGGTGTTACATGATTTTTTTTTTACAAATGAATATACATTTACCAATTTAGAAAATATAGTTCAATTGCTTTGAAAAAAAAAAAACATGGGTACATTAACATAAGTTTACGCACACCTCAAATAAAAAAAAAAACCAAAACCCAATACTTTTAAACACGTGAAAATGTCATCTTCAAATAGAGCCACATTTTCCTTTCCGTTGCAGTTCACGCGCGTGAACAAAGATGGCTGAAAATTTTCTTTCCAAAAAAAAAAAAAAAAAATGAAAATATATTTTTTTTTTAAATTTTAGAAATTTAAATTGGTTGTTTTTTTTTTTTTGTTTTTTTTTACATTTCTTTTTTTTTTTTTTTTTTTTTTTTTTTTAACACTCAAGGCTGTTACAGGCGTGGAAAAAACGGCTAAGAGATTCTTCTTTAGATAAAAGAATTCTTTCTTTTACGAGTTTCCATTAATTTAGTATTAGAAGAGAACAAGGCAAAAGTTTGGTTAAATTTTTAAGGAATACATCAGTAAAGCAAATTCCGCTAAGATAAAATATATTTAAAATTGTACATAGATTTTTTGGTTGTAAATTTAAAGTCGTGTTTTACCATTTTTAGAGGCAAAAAAATATAGTTCAGGGGCGTGGAGAGAAAAAAAAAAGGGGGGGGGGAGGGTAGGCGGATATTATATAGCAGAAAAATATTTCTAAAAACTAAATGATGTTAGAAACGTGAACATCATTTTTTTTTTTTTTGTATAAAAAAAGAAATTCTGATGAGCGGGTAGAAAATATCACAAAATGCCTGCCATTATTATCCTGGTAGCATCGGGTCATATATGCTAGTTTTTTTATGTCACGGCATGGTTCCATTTGGTCACGTTTCATATATTTGATGTCACGGCAGGTTCCCAGTTAGCGACTGCCGCAGCATTCCTATGGCTTAAATGTTGTTTAAATTCCAAAAAATGAAAAGAAAAAAAAAGAGGGGGGGGGGGAACCAACGCAACATTAGCAATACTCAAACTCTGATAAAGTAACATTCTGGAAACATTCTATTATCATTCTTCATTTTCTTTATTACATAACGAGTATCAGGTTCAAATGTGAGCTCTGGACAAGAGCATTGCCAATTAAATATGATTTTATTCATAAAAACTTTGCAATATATGTGTGTGTGCGTGTAATATTTAGTATAACATAAGGGTTAATTTAGAAATTCACAACCCAAAAACTACATTTTCTTAGGATATCATTGTGCACCGGGATTTATATAAATAAACTTAAAATGAAATATCAATCCTTACAACTGCACACACTGAAACAAATCATTTCTATCCTGTCTTTGCCCACTTTCGATCTACTGCTGACCATCGTCGGGGGTTTATGAATGGTTTAAGTTTAACTTTATACTGTAGACAGTGGCGTAGCTAGGGTAAGTGCCACTTGGGACCAAGATTTTGGGTCCCCCCCCCCCCTTCCTTCCACGATAAAACCTCTGCAGTTTGCCAAAAATGCCGCCCTCTATATAAGAATAAAGGGCAGCACGGGGTAGGTCCCCCTTTTTATCCTACGACAACGCTTNTTAAGTTTAAATTTTTACTGTTGACCGTGGCGTAGCTAGGGTAAGTGCCACTTGGGACCAAGATTTTGGGTCCCCCCCCCCCTTCCTTCCACGATAAAACCTCTGCAGTTTGCCAAAAATGCCGCCCTCTATATAAGAATAAAGGGCAGCACGGGGTAGGTCCCCCTTTTTATCCTACGACAACGCTTGTAGGATGTCCATATGTCTGTTTCATCATACGCCCCCCTCCCCCCACCCGCCCACCCCCCCCCCTCCAGCCAAGCGTATCTTGCACCATCTAGGTGTTGTAAACTACAAGCTTCCTTGTATTGTATTTGTTTTGAAGGAGTTTCTGCCCCTGGATAAAACAAAGCGTCACTAGTTTCAACAACCCATTTTGTTCGGCCATTCAGCCAGTATCCCAGGGTTGGTGCCTTGTTACAGTCGGCTGGGATGTAAGTATCCATCAAAGACCAGCGCAGTGTTCAGTTCCTCGGCTTTAGAGGTGAAGTTCTTATGTTCCCCATGCGTTATGAGTGGGGTCAGGTCTTGCTCACACCATCTATGACCAAAAAAAAAACACATGTTGTCATAACTAGAAACATGCAAATTTTAAAATAATGTTAAGAATCCCTAATATAACTGACAGACTGCCATCTCCTACTATAACTGACAGACTGCCATCTCCTACTATAACTGGCAGACTACCATCTCCTACTATAAGTGACAGACCGCCAACTCCTACAATAACTGACAAACTGCCAACTCCACTATAAATGACATACCGCCAACTCCACTTTAAATGACGTACTGCCATTAAGGGCCTTATTCCACTCTTATCAGTGGTGTAGTGGGCTAATGCTGGCCGGAGCGGGCCAAGATTTTGGCGCACAACAAACAAAAATCCTCAATTGGTAAAATGCCACCACTCGTAATAAAGGAAAAAAAGTGCACCCCCCGCCCGCCCTCCCGGGGTAGACCGCCACCTCTGCCTAACCCAGTGGTTCTCAACCTTCCTAATGCTGCGACTCTTTAATACAGTTCCTCAAGTTGTGGTGACCCCCAACCACAAAATTATTTTCGTTGCTTCCTCCAAAACTGTGGAGGATATGTGTTTTCCGATGGTCTTAGACGACCCCTGTGAAAGGGTCTTTCGACCCCCCCCCCCCAACGGGTCGTGACCCACAGGTTAAAGAACCGCTGGCCTAACCCTGCTTAGTCTAATCCCACAATGCTTCTTTCCCTGGTTATTACAGAAATGTTATGTCACTATTCCACAAGGCTATAGAGAGAGATCAGTGGCGTAGCTGTCGGCCCTGATGTCTGTCGGTCTCTGAACCCACTACGTCAACTAACCCACCTGTTAAAACCCACCTGTTGGCCGTGTACACATCTGTGGGTGAAGCGTCTTTATGGTTGGCGTGTTCAATCAGGAGAGCACCTAAAGGGGGACGACAGGTAAACGTGCATATGACAACACAGTACACACGCCTGTCTTCAAAAAAGGACGAAAACTATCTCCTGCCCAGACCGAATCTATAGACTGGTTGCATAGTACATCTATAGACTGGTTGCATAGTACATCTATAGACTGGTTGCATAGTACATCTATAGACTGGTTGCATAGTACATCTATAGACTGGTTGCATAGTACATCTATAGACTGGTTGCATAGTACTAGATATCTGACCAACGTATCATGTAGATATCTGACCAACGTATCATCATCTATAGACTGGTTGCATAGTACATCTATAGACTGGTTGCATAGTACATCTATAGACTGGTTGCATAGTACATCTATAGACTGGTTACATAGTACATCTATAGACTGGTTGCATAGTACATCTATAGACTGGTTGCATAGTACATCTATAGACTGGTTGCATAGTACATCTATAGACTGGTTGCATAGTACATCTATAGACTGGTTGCATAGTACATCTATAGACTGGTTACATAGTACATCTATAGACTGGTTGCATAGTACATCTATAGACTGGTTACATAGTACATCTATAGACTGATTGCATAGTACATCTATAGACTGGTTACATAGTACATCTATAGACTGGTTGCATAGTACTTCATACTACACCCTCCGCCCCCCCACCCCCGTTTTTTTTTAGTTTCCGGGGGTTTAAAATACTTCCTTAGAGAAAACAAATATAAATCTAATCAATAAATATAAATCTAATCAATAAATATAAATCTAATCAATAAATATAAATCTAATCAATAAATATAAATCTAATCAATGATTATAAATCTAATCAATAAATATAAATCTAATCAATAAATATAAATCTAATCAATAAATATAAATCTAATCAATGAATATAAATCTAATCAATGAATATAAATCTAATCAATAAATATAAATCTAATCAATCAATATAAATCAAATCAATAAATAATCAATCAAAATATAAAAATTCAATATAAATTTTTAAAATAACAAAAAAAAAAAAAAATCAGAATTACTAAAATTGATTTTTAAAAGAGAAAAATAATTGAGATACCATACTACTATAAAAGACAATGATAGAACGAAAGAGCGATAATCAATAAAAAAAAATCTAATAAATGAATATAAATCTAATAAAAAAATATAAATCTAATCAAACAATATAAAACAAATAAATAAAAAAACAAACAAAAAATAAAAATTCAATATAAATTTTTAAAATAACAAAAAAAAAAAAAAATCAGAATTACTAAAATTGATTTTTAGAAGGGAAAAATAATTGAGATACCATACTACTATAAACGACAATGATCTCATTTAAAACTCAAACAATTTTTTTTAATCGATATTCTTTGTATGTTCAACTTTTTATGAATACATAGGATGTGTCTTTTTAGTACGATTAATATACGTTTCTTTATGATGTGTCTATAGGGTACGATAAATATAATGTTTCTTTATAATGTGTCTATAAAGTGCGATTAATATATGTTTCTATACGATTTTTCTATGGGGAAGTTTTTATATAATTAAAAGCTCGTCAAGCTAACAACATAGTCACCGACCCATGTAAATCCTGGCCAAGCTCACAACAGAGCCACCGACCCATGTAAATCCTGGCCAAGATAACAACAGAGCCACCGACCCAGGTAAATCCTGGCCAAGATAACAGAGCCACCTACCCATGTAAATCCTGGCCAAGATAACAACAGAGCCACCGACCCATGTAAATCCTGGCCAAGATAACAACAGAGCCACCGACCCAGGTAAATCCTGGCCAAGATAACAGAGCCACCTACCCATGTAAATCCTGGCCAAGATAACAACAGAGCCACCGACCCATGTAAATCCTGGCCAAGATAACAACAGAGCCACCGACCCAGGTAAATCCTGGCCAAGATAACAGAGCCACCTACCCATGTAAATCCTGGCCAAGATAACAACAGAGCCACCGACCCATGTAAATCCTGGCCAAGATAACAACAGAGCCACCGACCCAGGTAAATCCTGGCCAAGATAACAGAGCCACCTACCCATGTAAATCCTGGCCAAGATAACAACAGAGCCACCTACCCATGTAAATCCTGGCCAAGATAACAACAGAGCCACCTACCCATGTAAATCCTGGCCAAGATAACAGAGCCACCTACCCATGTAAATCCTGGCCAAGATAACAACAGAGCCACCTACCCATGTAAATCCTGGCTAAGATAACAGAGCCACCTACCCATGTAAATCCTGGCCAAGCTCACAACAGAGCCACCTACCCATGTAAATCGTGGCCAAGCTCACAACAGAGCCACCTACCCATGTAAATCCTGGCCAAGCTCACAACAGAGCCACCTACCCATGTAAATCCTGGCCAAGCTGTAAGCGAACTCCCTGGCGCTTATCTCCGTGCAACGAGCCGGTAGTTTGACAGCATAACTCAGCACTTTGTTAACGGCCGACTCCACGGCATTGGCCGCCACTCCCAGCTCACTGTGAGACGTCGCTGGGCTGACACGCTGCAGAACGTCGTCACGGTAGTGGTCAAGGACGGAACCGGAAGACTTGGTGATGGCCCGCAGGACGTCCAGTGACAGGATGTTGGTAGTCCCTTCCCAGATGGCATTGACCTGCTCACACAAAAAGGAAGGTTTTTTGTAATCAAGTGAATAAATACTACGACAAATTCCAATAAAGGAACAAAAATAGTAACGCATTATGTATTGAAAGAAATGTGGCTAATTTAGTTGGTAGGCAAGTTAACCAACGTCAGAATACGATTGGTGAAGGAAGCACAGGGTGGAATTTGCAGTCTACATCACTGGATCTTAACCCCTTTGTGTGTCATATTTCTTTTTCATATTTTCTTTTACACCCCCCCCCCCAAAAAAAAAAAAAATTTAAAAAAAAAAAAAAATACTTCTTTCAAGAAATAAATTCTTTCCTCTTCCAACATTGTCTCAAAATAGTAGATTTCAAAATAAGATGCAGGCCTGCGCCACCGTTAACGTATTTTGCACAATCCACACCCTCGCCCTGTTGACCTTTTGCTCCTCTCGATAATGTGTCACAGGAGACATTTTTTCGTTGTATTTAACTTTGTAAAAAAATAATATATACCCAGGGAATATACTCAGCACCTTGGAAGCAAGTCACAATTACTCTCTGACCCATCGGAAGGCATGTTACAATGACTCTGTGACCCATCGGAAGGCATGTTACAATTACTCTTTGACCCACCGGAACGCATGCTACAATTACTACCTGAGCCATCGCAAACGCATGTCAGAATAATTACTCTCTGGCCTACCTGGGTATCCCTGAGAATTCGTGGCAAGTCGGTATCCTCTATGTATCCCTGGCCACCAAAACATTCCAGACCCTCGGATGCCACAGCTACCGACTGAATGGGGAAAAAACAAGATGCAAAGAACTTTTTGTAAAAGAAAGGAAATATTTAATGTATGCAAACTTCAAATCCTGAGTGGAACTTGTATAACAACAAAGGTAAAAGAATAACTTTGTGAAAACAGTTAATATCAACCTGAAATTTTGTAGGAGGAAGTGGAGCCCTAATTTAGAACTGCCTCGGGCGCCAAGATTTCCAAGGCCACCCCTGCTTAACATGTACCTGTTTGGAAACATAAAGCTTCGCTAGCGGCACGACAAGCCTAAGGACATCTGCCTCTGCCTTGAGTTCGTTCCCTTCTGTGGCAACTTCCTGTCTGCCCAGCAGACGTGCGACTTCAAGGACGAAAATGGTTGCCGCCCGCGTCTCGACCTCCATCTTGGCCAAAGTGTGCACGTGCAGTGAATGCTTGTGGAGAACTTTCCCAAAAGCTTTCCTTCTGGTGGCGTAGTCCCTGGCCAGACTGACCATCCTGTGGGTTGGAATATATGTTTCAAAAAGTAAGTTCACAATATTCATACTTTGAAATGAAAATAACATGCATTTTTAAAGATTGATTGGATAGCTAGTGAATCGGCTAACCCCAATTTGGTGATCTCAAAATGGACCCATCAGACACGCAGCGCCGCCATTCGCTCCCGGGTACCATTAGACTCAAGCTATTCGGAAGTCATTTTTGGTAGTTTATTTTAGTTAAACTGAAGAAGTAAGTTTACAAACATATAGTCCATTAAATTACTTTTCATTTGATACCTCATTTTGTCTTATAAACCCAAAAATAATATTTTAAATAGTTTTTTTTAATCCCAACCTCTCACTTCTGGTACCCGGGTACGAATAGTCGCAGCCATCGAACAAAAAAATTAATTCAACATCAAGCAAACATCTTTCACGCCCAAATGTTATCAAATGGCTTTTTAAGAATAAGATGTTGACCTTCTCATGGCCGAGGCAGCCCCCATGGCCGTGTGCATCCTTGTGATGGTCAGCATGCTGCTCATGGACCACACACCTCTCCCGTCGTCTGATATCTAAAGGTAACAAACAGCGAGTTCAGTGTCTGGACAACAAGGTTTCCCTAAATTATAAAGAGCATTTTGTACAAGGCAATCATAAAAAGTGGTAGGTGCAAGTGTGGGATTGTATGTTGAACACACATCAAGCCGCGGGTTGATAAGTTATTGTTTGTTGAACACACACCAAGCCGCGGGTTGATAAGTTATTGTTTGTTGAACACACATCAAGCCACGGGTTGATAAGTTATTGTTTGTTGAACACACATCAAGCCGCGGGTTGATAAGTTATTGTTTGTTGAACACACATCAAGCCACGGGTGTGATAAGTTATTGTTTGTTGAACACACATCAAGCCACGGGTGTGATAAGTTATTGTTTGTTGAACACACATCAAGCCACGGGTGTGATAAGTTATTGTTTGTTGAACACACATCAAGCCGTGGGTGTGATAAGTTATTGTTTGTTGAACACACATCAAGCCGTGGGTGTGATAAGTTATTGTTTGTTGAAGACACATGAAGCCGCAGGTGTGATGAAAAGTTAATTATGTCATGTAGCAACTCATTCATGCGTGTCTTTATGTACCTGTGCTGCATAAATAATCTGATAACTATTAAGAGAGCATTAAAATAGTATTTATTTACAGATGTTTTCATGACGTAATCATGTGTACAAGGAAGTTGGGGGGGGGGGGGGGGGGGTAGGAGTGAAATGAAATGTATAGGGAAAGAGAGAAAAGCAAGATTGTGACAGTGTTCGAAAGAAAACGCAACAAAGAGAGAGAAAAAAAAAAGAGACAGGGGGAGAGATAGAGACTTTGATAAATCATAAAGTGAGTGAAATAAAGTGAGTGAGAGAAAGAAATGAGGCACGAGACGGAGATACATAGAAAGAGAGGTAACCCTCTTTTAGTTTCTAAGAGATATTTTTTTTTAAAATCCTTTCTTTTTACTAAGCTTTTGTCTATGTGTTTCTTTCTGTTTATCTGGCTGTGTGGCAAAATCATGGGACAGCTCAATCGACCCACCTCCCGTCAACCTATTGAGCTGAAGCTTGGCCCATAGACGCGTTTCCAATGCCTTCACATTCTTTCAAATTTTCAGCCCCAACCACCAAAAAATCAGCTTATCCTGTTGGTCAAGTGGAAGGGGAATTTGATGGCACTGATTTCGGGAAATAAAAATCCTGAAAACTGCGCTAAACGAGATTATCATGTTTTGTTAAACATCGCAAGTGTGTTAAGTGCCTAATTTTTTTCTTTTTCTTTTCTGAAATAGTACAAAAATATGTGCCGTAACAGCGGGTGGGTCGTTACCATATTAAAGAGTTCAGGGGCATGTAAAAAAATTGCTTTTGGGAGCCCGGCCCCGGGGGGGGGGGAGACACTAACTGGGATTCTTATAAAGAGCGTTACATGAAAGCATTTTTTTTCTTCAAATTTTCATCCCCCCACCCCCTTGTTCGACATTAGATTTTTATAAAAGATTTAAGGGGGATGTAAAAAAATTGCTTTTGGGGGCCCGGCCCCGGGGGGGGGGGGGGAGACACTAACTGGGATTCTTATAAAGAGCGTTACATGAAAGCATTTTTTTTCTTCAAATTTTCATCCCCCCACCCCCTTGTTCGACATTAGATTTTTATAAAAGATTTATATGAACAACTTTTTTTAGAGGGATTGTTTCATTGTTGGTCAATCTGAAAAGGGCCTCTGTTGTTCCAAGATTTAGCCAGCCACCAACAAAAGTGAAGTTAACATAAAGTATTTTTAAAATAACCCAAAATATATATTTTTGTGTGGATGTACTAATCATATGATTCTCCTCACACAACACAGGTTGCCGCCCCTGCCCTGGAGCAATGCAAAGTTGGCCAAATGCGTCATGCACTGTTTAAAATAAATCAATACCCCGAGGAATTAAATACGAGCTTTAAATAAGAAAAGTTGAAAGGTCTGATTTTATGGTACCTTCTGTGCTGTTGCCCCGTCAATCAACAGCTCAGCTGTTGGCAGCTGTTTTGTACCAAGTTTGTTTTTCAGTTTCAACATCTGGATGTTGTTCATGGTCCCATGTTCGTCTCTGACTTCCAAGTAAAAAAGGGACAAGCCCTTGGTACCCTGAAATATAAACAAAGCCACTGGTAACATGATGCTTTATTCAGGACGTGCAAAAGAGGACTGGCAAGTCACCGTCGAAAACAAAGAACGAAAAACAAGGAAATGTATTCTCATCATCATCATCATGTCCCTTAGTCCTTGAACCGTTGGGGCGCCACAGATGACATGTGAACCATCCTCCTCCATTCGTCTCTCTCTTCTGCACTACGCACAGCATCGCCCATTGTTAGTCCTGTCCACTCTTTGATGTTATCCTCCCATCTTTTTCTTTGTCTTCCTCTTCTTCTCCCTCCTCTTGTGGTGCCCTGCAATATTTCTTTGGCAAGCCCTTGTTTCCTTGTTACGTGGCCGTACCATTGCAGTTTGCAGTAGGTCATCGTACTCCCCAATTGCCTGACGAACCCTTTCTTTCACTTTAACATTGAAGATATGGTCCCTATAGCAGATACCAAAATGCTTCTGAAGCATCTCATCTCCATCGCCTTTTTTTTCCTTTCAAGATCGGCTGTTAATGTCCAGGACTCGCAAGCATACAGGAAAATGGAGAGGACTAATGAGCGCATCAGCCTGATTTTGGTGCTGGGGGCAATATTTTTGTCATTCCATATTTTCTTGAGCTTTTTTAGTGCTGTTGTAGTCTGCGCAATCCTGGACATCAGTTCGGGCTTGGAGCCTTCTTCTGAGACTATTGCTCCTAGGTATTTGACGTGGCCTACAGTCTTTAGTCTCTCCTCTCCGACCTTAATTTCAGTGGTGATGCCTGTGGTATTATTTGTCATCAGTTTTGTCTTTTCGGCACTGATTAGCATGCCGTAGGACGACGAGGTCTTGTCGAGACGCTTTACCAGGTCGGCTAGCTCTTCTTCGTTCCCAGCCAGCACGTCTATGTCGTCCACAAAGCGTAGGTTGGTGATTGTTCTGCCACCAATGCTGACTGTCCCTTCATGCGCTTCCAGAGCATCTAACATAATTCTCTCTAGTAAGATGTTGAATAGGGTTGGGGAGAGCAGGCAGCCTTGTCGAACTCCAACCGTGATCTTGAACCATTCTCCGATGTTGTTGTTGAGGAAGACTGCACTGGTGACCTTATCATAGAGGTTGCATATCATTCTGGTTAGGTTTGTGTTGATGTTGTAGTGCCTCATGGTAGCCCATAAAGCAGCATGCCAAACCCTGTCAAATGCTTTCTTGAAGTCCACAAAGACGTGGTATAGCTTTTGTTGGTGCTGAGCATATTTCTCACTTTCTTTTCGGAGGTTTAGAATCTGCTCAGTAGTGCCCCGTCCCTGTTAGCTAAAAGCGTACAGCATAACATCTGATTAGTCGAAAATAGGAAGTAAATAATATTGACAGACCTCATTGGACAATGAGCAAATCCAAGTATGTCTGTTACATGTGAAGGTATTGAGGCCCCAGCGCCTTCATAGCCAAGCAACTAAAAAACAAACCAAAAAAAAAAAACCCACACATTAATAGGAAAGACAGAGAAACTAAATAAGACAGAGCCAGTGAACAAGACAGAGCCATTGAACAAGACAGAGCCAGTGAAAAAATAGGAAGTAAATAATATTGACAGACCTCATTGGACAATGAGAAAATCCAAGTATGTCTGTTACATGTGAAGGTATAGAGGCCCCAGCGCCTTCAAAGCCAAGAAAATAAAAAACAAACAAAAAAAAAAAAACCCACACATTAATAGGAAAGACAGAGAAACTAAATAAGACAGAGCCAGTGAACAAGACAGAGCCATTGAACAAGACAGAGCCAGTGAACAAGACAGAGCCAGTGAACAAGACAGAGCCAGTGAACAAGACAGAGCCAGTGAACAAGACAGAGCAACTGAACAAGACAGGGCCAGTGAACAAGACAGAGCAACTAAACAAGACAGAGGAACTGAACAAGAGACAGAGCAGATGAACAAGACAGAGCAGATGAACAAGACAGAGCCAGTGAACAAGACGGAGCCAGAGAACAAGACAGAGCAACTGAACAAGACAGAGCAAGTGAAAAAGAAAGAGCAGATGAACAAGACAGAGCAGATGAACAAGACGGAGCAACTGACTTAGAGAGAGGAACTGAACAAGTTGAAGTGACTGAAAAAAAAAATCACAAGTTATCAAGAGACTGACGTTCTAGGACAGCAGCACACATACCTCTTGAACGCGTCCATGCTTGTCTACAACTCTTGCCAGTGTCAAGGTCATGTCAGCATCCGTTGCTGAGGAAAACCATTTGTACCCGTACAGTTTGTAGGTTCCATCCTGCTGTTCGACAGCAAGCGTTTCTGTGCCACCGGCTGTAAAGAACGTGAAATCAAATTTATGTCATAAATTACAATAACGCTCTTGTATGTTTGTATGGTACTTAAAGTGTTTCTCAAAATTGACTACAACACAAATACTCGTCAATGTGGGGCCGTCCATATCTTATCACCATATGCCCCTGGTGGGATCTCAGCCAGATATCACCTTATGCCACTGGTGGGATCTCAGCCGGTTATCACAATATGCCACGGGTAGAATCTCAGCCAGATATCACCATATGCCACTGGTGGGATCTCAGCCGGTTATCACAATATGCCACGGGTAGAATCTCAGCCAGATATCACCATATGCCACTGGTGGGATCTCAGCCAGATATCACCATATGCCACTGGTGGGATCTCAGCCACATATCACCATATTGCACCTATGGGATCTCAGCCAGATGTCACCATATGCCACGGTGGGATCTCAGCCAGATATCACCATATGCCACTGGTGGGATCTCAGCCACATATCACCATATTGCACCGATGGGATCTCAGCCAGATGTCACCATATTCCACTAGTGGGATCTCAGCCAGATATCACCATATGCCACTGGTGGGATCTCAGCCAGATATCACCATATTTAACCGATGGGATCTCAGCCAGATGTCACCATATGCCACTGGTGGGATCTCAGCCAGATATCACCTTATGCCACTGGTGGATCTCAGCCAGATATCACCATATGTCATCGATGGGATCTCTTCCAGATATCACAATATGCCACTGGCGGGATCTCAGCCAGATATATTTTGGTTTTTAGAGACAAAATTATAATTAATATATATTTCTTTTAGAACTTTGCCTTTTTTTTTAAAACAGTCCCTCATCTTGACAACTTAACGTATCACTGATAATGTCTGAATACTAATCTGTCTATTCATATGCCATTTATTGTGAACTTTTTAAAATAAAAATAAAGGTATGTCACAACTTCAATAGCTTTGGTAGCACTGTCAAATAGCTTTGGTAGCACTGTCAAATAGCCTTGGGAGCACTGTCAAATAGCCTTGGGAGCACTGTCAAATAGCTTTGGTAGCACTGTCAAATAAATGTTGGAGGGCACTGAAATGGTTTTTTCATGGCATAAAACTTAGGAAATATATAGGGTGGTCTTCCCATTGTCCATGTGATTAAAAAAAACGAATTTCCGTGGAGTAATTCCGTTAATCTTAGCGAGTACATAAATTGAATGTTCTTAGTAAGTACATAAACTGAATGATCTTTGTGAGTTCATCAATTGAATGTACTTAATGAGTACATAAATTGAATGTTCTTAGTAAGTACATAAACTGAATGATCTTTGTGAGTTCATCAATTGAATGTACTTAATGAGTACATAAATTGAATGTTCTTAGTAAGTACATAAACTGAATGATCTTTGTGAGTTCATCAATTGAATGTACTTAATGAGTACATAAATTGAATGTTCTTAGTAAGTACATAAACTGAATGATCTTTGTGAGTTCATCAATTGAATGTACTTAATGAGTACATAAATTGAATGTTCTTAGTAAGTACATAAACTGAATGATCTTTGTGAGTTCATCAATTGAATGTACNAAAAAAATTTTAGACAAAAAAAAACAAATTTATTAAAGTAAAGAAAAAATAAAAAGAAAGTAACTAAGCTGATGTCCTGTCCGTTCGTTCACCATACAAATACCCTACAGTAAATTAAAACTATATTAAAACATTACTAAAAAATGTTAGCCCCCCCCCCCTGGAAAGTTAATCGATTTTTTGCCCCCCCCCCCTAGAAAGTTTTCTGTGGGCGCCCATGTCTGCACGTATGAAATGGTTGTGACACAACCAGTCGATTTGAAGAGCAAATCTCTTGACAGTTCGTGATCACCCTCTGTAAATAGCTTATAAGACCACATCGCCTACCGACATCAGAGCCACCTTGTTTCTCAGTCATCCATTGTCCGGATGTCCAGAACGTCCTGGGATCTCTGCTTGTTAGACGTGAAAATGCCTTCTCGTAAACGCCCGAGTGCTTGCCCCTGAAGATCTGAAGACGAATGTTTCAAAGCAATGAGAACACTTGAACTATGGTGACATAAATTTGACATCTCAAGTTTAATGATAGTAAGTCGCTGGCCGAAAACAATGAAACAAAAAGACGGGGAAAGGAAGAAGAAAAAAATAGCAAGGTAAAGAATGGGATCAGAGTCTTTCTTTAGTATACGTTCACAGACTAAACACCATGCTGTCAGTCAAAAGTTACACTTGGAGGGAAAAAGATTACATGTAAGAAACCAAATGTAATGGATGACGGATCGAAGTTCATGGTGGCAGACCGAAGAACATGTCAACACGTGAATTCTATGCTACTGTGTATTTTTTTAAAAATAAATTCTGTACGACCAAAGTTTGCACTTTAAAGCCAGAGATCATTGAAGGTGTAAGGGACAATGCTCATGCAGTAGATCCATTCATGCTATAAGGCCAAAGTTCATGCTATAAGGCCAAAGTTCATGCTATAAGGCCAAAGTTCATGCTATAAGGCCAAAGTTCATGCTATAAGGCCAAAGTTCATGCTATAAGGCCAAAGTTCATGCTATAAGGCCAAAGTTCATGCTATAAGGCCAAAGTTCATGCTATAAGGCCAAAGTTCATGCTATAAGGCCAAAGTTCATGCTATAAGGCCAAAGTTCATGCTATAAGGCCAAAGCTCATGCTATAAGGCCAAAGTTCATGCTATAAGGCCAAAGTTCATGCTATAAGGCCAAAGTTCATGCTATAAGGCCAAAGTTCATGCTATAAGGCCAAAGTTCATGCTATAAGGCCAAAGTTCATGGCAGAGAGCACACGCCCGTGTTCCGGTTAGACCCACTCCATCAAATACTATGACAGACATTTACTGCAATGTTAACAAAATCATTACCTCCAGTGTCTTAGCTGCTCCGTTGGTCATAGCCAGGGGGCAGCCGTACAGGCCACCGGACGGCTCAAACAGGTAGAACTTGGAAATCTGGTACAGTCGGCTAGAACAAACACAGCGCGTTACTTTTCTTCAAAACCAATTCCTTAAAATGGCGCATATTTTATGAATGTAAAAAGTAACAAAGATCGGGGATTGTTATACTAAGACTGGTGAGTTAGATGATAAATTTTAAGTTGACAGGATTCGACAAAAGCACTGGAATTAGAAGATAATATAACATCCTTTCAAAATCGTACAATTGTTTGGCAGTTTACTGATTATTCAATGGGGTACGTCCAAGATTTTGTAAAACAGAGTAGCTTGCCCGTTGTTGCCGTGTACTTTTTTTTTTACCATTTTGGGTTGTTCCAAAATCATGTTTGTTTGTTTTTCTATACTCGATTCCAGTGAAAAAATGCATACCACAAAAGATCACCAAACCTAAGATAGATCAGCCATGGGTCACGGCTGAAATCCGTAGGCTCATCCACAGGAGAGACCGCCAAAACAAATGCATGAAGAAAAATGGCTCAATTGAACTGAAAGAGGAGGTACTGAGGCTCCGCCGAACCATACAACGCTCATTGCGCAGATCATATTGGAACTACATGAACGGCATCTTCTCAGAGGAAGACACCCTGACCAAAGATGTCAAGAACAAGCGCTTCTGGAGCTATGTGAAGCACCAAAATTCCTCAAACGGTGGAGTTTCCCCCCTGAGGTGGGATGGCCATTTGACATCTGACCCAAAAGTACAGGCTGACATACTCAATCAGCAGTTTCAGTTGGTCTTTGGTGACGGTAGAGAGTACTCGGAGGCTGAGTTCCTTCTGAAGACCAAAATGATGAGCTAGCAGAGCTTTCCCTGTCATGGGAGATATCCAGATATCAGAACAAGGTGTGTTTGCCCTCCTCAAAACCATTAACCCCTACAAAGCATGTGGTCCTGACAACATCAAACCCCGAGTGCTCAAAGAATTAGCCAAAGAAATCGCTCCTGCACTGACAATCCTCTTCCAATCGTCGCTGTGCACAGAAAATGTTCCAGCAGACTGGAGAACAGCGCATGTCACTCCAATCTACAAGAAAGGGGAGCATTCCGACCCTGCCAACTATCGTCCGATGGAGCATATAATCGTAAGCACAGTCATGAAGTATCTTGAAAGCCATAACATAATCAGTGACTGTCAACATGGCTTCCGAGTCAACAGATCATGTGAGACCAAGCTCCTTGAATTTGTAGAAGACCTGATGACCAATCTGGAGAACCACAAGCAGACTGACGTGCTGGTGATGGACTTCGCAAAGGCATTTGACCGTGTGAGTCATAGTTTGCTTCTACACAAACTCCAGAGATATGGGATCCAAGGCACCACTAAAACATGGATCTCTATCTTTCTCAGCCACCGACGCCAAGCAGTAGTGGTGGACGGTACAATCTCCTCCTTTGTCGATGTGAAGTCAGGGGTCCCCCAGGGATCAGTGCTAGACCCCTGTTTGTTCCTAGCATACATTAATGACCTACCCGAGAAACTGACATCCCAAGTGAGACTGTTCGCAGATGACACAGCAGTGTATAGGACGATCGCCAACAGATCTGACCAAGACCAGCTACAACAGAATCTAAATCTGTTAGCTGAATGGGAGATGAGCTGGGACATGGAATTTCACCCTGCCAAGTGCCAGACACTATCAATCTCTAGAAGTTGTACTCCTCTACACTACCAATACGAACTGCACGGCCATATACTTGAGCCAGTTTCCTCCGTGAAGTACCTAGGTGTTACCATTCAAAGAGAGGTCCGCTGGGACGAGCATATTAACAATGTATGTAACCAAGCAAACAAGACTCTGGGATTCTTAAGGCGTAATCTAAAGATTGGCGACTCCTGTGTGAAAGAAAGAACATATAAAGCCTTTGTTCGTCCGATTTTAGATTATGCATCTTCAGTCTGGGACCCATTTTGCCAGAAGAGCATTGACAGGTTGGAGGCAGTCCAGCGACGAGCAGCACGCTTTGTCTTGAACCACTACATGAATACCTATAGTGTTGGCAGCATGCTGGAAACACTAGGCGGGTCACCATTGGAGGAGCGACGACGACAATCCAGGCTCTCCATGATGTACAAGATAAACAATGGGCTGGTCCACTGTTCCAGTATTAAACAGAAACTCGTCCCTCTCCCCCATAGACAGCGACGAGGCCATGACAGGCAATTCAGACTCATACCAGCAAGAAGCCAGTATAGGAGCTGCTCATTCCTGCCCAAGACAATCAGGGACTGGAACAAGCTGTCAAGGGGAACAGTTGAGGCGACAACACTAGACACAATTGTGTCTATTGCCTCAAGCCTTTAAACCTCCCACTGCATGATTCCCTCACAAAGTGGCACTGGAAATCAGGGAAATGTCCTCATCAACACCAGGCACAGAAACATTGCAAATCCCCTCTATATGCATAGGAGCCAAAATGATCAATAAATTGATCGTGGGCCCTTAATATTTAGAAGAAGAAGAAGGTAAGCAGGCTTAATTAAAATGGACCCTATAATATACTTTTAAAATAAAATGTATACTTTTACTCTGAATAGTTTCTTTCATCTCAATTCATGGTGACGTCATCCAATCCATGTTCACTTAGCCAAACCATGACACCCACAAACGATATGATAGCGGAAATGCACCAACTCATGCTCTTTTCTTTCCGAAGATTTCTTTTTTCTTCGTGAACGTACCCCATAAAGAAGTGAAGTGGAGATAATTGACAAAGTGTTTGACACACATCTCGTTGTTGAACAAAAGACAACTCTTAATATTGTAAAAAAATAAACACCTCCATTCTCCAAATGCTCTCTCATAGCCGCATGCTATCATTCCTTCCTCAGCTGCGATTTCTTTCATTCTGTGCCATGCCGTTGAGGTGACCAGCTTGTCCACTCTCCTCCCCCACGCGTCAATCTGTTCTAACTGTCCAACGACAAAGTTCATAAAATGGGTTAGTGACAGTATCAAACACATCTCTTTAAACACTAAGAACCCCCCCCCCCTAAAAGACCACCCCCCCACCCCGCCTCCTTTTTCAATTTTGCCGGAGCTGGGAGTGAGGCGGTTTTATTTTTATTTTTTTTTCTTCAGGAGCGGATCTTGAGCGGATCTTGAGCGGCTCTTGCGCGGATCTTGAGCGGCTCTTGCGCGGATCTTGAGCGGACCTTGAGCGGATCTTGAGCGCATCTTGAGCGGATCTTGAGCGGACCTTGAGCGGACCTTGAGCGGACCTTGAGCGGATCTTGAGCGGACCTTGAGCGGATCTTGAGCGGACCTTGAGCGGATCTTGAGCGGACCTTGAGCGGATCTTGAGCGGACCTTGAGCGGATCTTGAGCGGACCTTGAGCGGATCTTGAGCGGACCTTGAGCGGATCTTGAGCGGACCTTGAGCGGATCTTGAGCGGACCTTGAGCGGATCTTGAGCGGACCTTGAGCGGATCTTGAGCGGACCTTGAGCGGATCTTGAGCGGACCTTGAGCGGATCTTGAGCGGACCTTGAGCGGATCTTGAGCGGACCTTGAGCGGATCTTGAGCGGACCTTGAGCGGATCTTGAGCGGACCTTGAGCGGATCTTGAGCGGACCTTGAGCGGATCTTGAGCGGACCTTGAGCGGATCTTGAGCGGACCTTGAGCGGATCTTGAGCGGACCTTGAGCGGATCTTGAGCGGACCTTGAGCGGATCTTGAGCGGACCTTGAGCGGATCTTGAGCGGACCTTGAGCGGATCTTGAGCGGACCTTGAGCGGATCTTGAGCGGACCTTGAGCGGATCTTGAGCGGACCTTGAGCGGATCTTGAGCGGACCTTGAGCGGATCTTGAGCGGACCTTGAGCGGATCTTGAGCGGACCTTGAGCGGATCTTGAGCGGACCTTGAGCGGATCTTGAGCGGATCTTGAGCGGATCTTGAGCGGACCTTGAGCGGACCTTGAGCGGACCTTGAGCGGATCTTGAGCGGATCTTGAGCGGCTCTTGCGCGGATCTTGAGCGGACCTTGAGCGGACCTTGAGCGGATCTTGAGCGGATCTTGAGCGGACCTTGAGCGGACCTTGAGCGGACCTTGAGCGGATCTTGAGCGGACCTTGAGCGGATCTTGAGCGGATCTTGAGCGGATCTTGAGCGGATCTTGAGCGGACCTTGAGCGGACCTTGAGCGGATCTTGAGCGGATCTTGAGCGGATCTTGAGCGGACCTTGAGCGGATCTTGAGCGGACCTTGAGCAGACCTTGAGCGGATCTTGGCGAAAAAAAAGCCTGCTCTAAAACCATGTATAATATAAATTAAAACATTTCTTTTGTTAATTTTAAATGTAGTTTTATAACATAGGAGATATGCCGCATGCCTCTCATCAAGTCTATAGTGTACTGTTAATGTCTGACAACCTACCCTGGGCTGTTCATATTCAATGCACCCCATACGGTCTCTTCGACTGGCGTGTTAATGTCTGACAACCTTCCCTGGTCTGTTCATATTCAATGCACCCCATACGGTCTCTTCGACTGGCGTGTTAATGTCTGACAACCTTCCCTGGGCTGTTCATATTCAATGCACCCCATAAGGTCTCTTCGACTGGCGTGTTAATGTCTGACAACCTTCCCTGGGCTGTTCATATTCAATGCACCCCATACGGTCTCTTCGACTGGCGTGTTAATGTCTGACAACCTTCCCTGGGCTGTTCATATTCAATGTACCCCATAAGGTCTCTTCGACTGGCGTGTTAATGTCTGACAACCTTCCCTCGGCTGTTCATATTCAATGCACCCCATAAGGTCTCTTCGACTGGCGTGTTAATGTCTGACAACCTTCCCTGGGCTGTTCATATTCAATGCACCCCATACGGTCTTTTCGACTGGCGTGTTAATGTCTGACAACCTACCCTGGTCTGTTCATATTCAATGTACCCCATAAGGTCTCTTCGACTGGCGTGTTAATGTCTAACAACCTACCCTGGGCTGTTCAGCTTCCATGCGCAACGACAGCTCATAAATCTCACCAACAGCACGCTGTCCAAATCTGGTAAGGTCCTCATTGATGACATGGAAGTGCTGGAAAGAGATGGAAGAACTTCAGCTTACCAATGGCTGTAACTTTATTGTCAACAATGCCTGTATGTTTATTGTCACAAATGGATGTATGTTAATTGTCACCAATGGCTGTATGTCAATTGCCACCAATTGCAGTATGCTAATTGTCACCAATGGTTGTATGTTGTAACCAATGGCTTTATGTTGTCACCAATGGCTGTATGTTAATTGTCACCAATCGAGTTGGGGAGGTAGACGCCCTGACAAAACATGCAGCGTGTAAACACCTGATGGAAACACCTGATGTAAACACCTGATGTAAACACCTGATGTGAACACCTGATGTAAACACCTGATGTAAACACCTGATGTAAACACCTGATATAAAACACATGATGTAAACACCTGATGTAAACACATGATGTAAACACCTGATGTAAACACCTGATGTAAACACCTGATGTAAACACCTGATGTAAACACCTGATATAAAACACATTATGTAAACACCTGATGTAAACACATGATGTAAACACATGATGTAAACACCTGATGTAAACACATGATGTAAACACATGATGTAAACACCTGATGCAAACACCTGATGTAAACACCTGATGTAAACACATGATGTAAAAGCCTGATGTAAACACATGATGTAAACACATGATGTAAACACCTGATGTCAACACATGATGTAAACACTTGATGCAAACACATGTCGTAAACACCTGATGTAAACACCTGATGTAAACACATGATGTAAACACCTGATGTAAACACCTGATGCAAACACCTGATGTAAACACATGATGTAGGACCTTTATGAAACATAAAAGGCATGCACACCAATACCTGAACCAATTCGCTGTAACAACGTAAACATAAAACTACATTCACAATGGAGAGACAAAAGACAACCAAATATTTTGTTGAAAAATAAATAAAGTCAATATTACAATTAAGATTAGAAGTTGATACAAGTCTTTCCATATTACTGCATGTATATTTTCTTCATGTGCTCCGCCCTTGATAGCACTGTTACTGCATCTACTGCTCATACCTTGATAAACCTGATAGCTTTATATGGGGCCCTGTTACTGCATCTACTGATGGTACTTTGTTAACACTGATGGCCTTATCCATATATTCGATACTTATAAATTATAAATTACACAAACACGCAAACAAACACATAGACTCTCTCTCTCTCTCTCTCTCTCTCTCTCTCTCTCTCTCTCTCCCCTCCTCACACACACACACACACACAAATACACACACACACACAATTACACACACACACACACACACACACACACACACACAAAACTGTTTCTGCATCTACTGATGGTACTTTGTGAACACTGATGGCCTTATCCATATATACGATACATATAAATTATAAATTACACACACACGCACACACACACACAGACTCTCTCTCTCTCTCTCTCTCTCTCTCTCTCTCTCTCTCTCCCCTCTTCACACACACACACACACACAATTGTACACACACACACAATTGTACACACACACACACACACACACTCAAATGCACACAAAATTAAACTCACCTTCAATTATTCATTTCTTTTTTTGGTTCTTTATTTTACCCAATAATTACCTTTTTTTTTAACAATTTTTTCCTCACTTTCCTTTCTCTTGTAGATAAAATTTCATTTAATGAAATCTATGGGAAAATTTCCTTCGCAGTGTTACAGTTGTTTCTGTTCCACATTTTAACTTTTGTTTATTTCTTGCGCTTCGGAAACAATACTTCAGCGCAGGTCAGGTAATTAGTATCACCAAAAAAATGTGTCAAAACTTTGGCCTAATTTCGGTAGGCTGTTATGTTGGTTTTGGGCCAGTGAGATAGTCTCACTTTGGTAGGTCAGATAAAAATAAAAAGCATATAATGGATAATTATAAAATGGTGTGTCACATGTCACATATGTCACATCGTGTATCTCATTTTAAACATAAAAAAAAACTTTCTTGCTGCAGTGGGCCAAACGTGCTGCCCCAAAAAACATGCCACCATGCCACCATGCCACCATGCCCCCATGCCACCATGCCCCCATGCCACCATGCCACCATGCCACCACAGACACTGTTCCTAAGCTAGTGTAGTAAGCCTACTACTACAATGCCACTGAAAATGCACTTTTATAAATGCCAAAGTCCAGACCACAGCTAATCTTTAACTGATACGAATAGAGATGAGTTCAACTGTTCATAATATCTTTATTTCATCAAGATCTCTGGAATAATCATATTGTTTTAGTGTTATAAACTATTTTATTCTGCGTAGTGTCCTATCATTGTCCTCTAATTTAAAACAGGTTTTCTGTGCATATTGCCATATTGTCCTCTAATTTAAACCAGGTTGTCTGTGCATATTATGTTACGTGGAAGATGCTCTCAGTCGTAGCATCTGAAGATGAAGTTTCTCTTAACTTCACCTTCAGCTTTCTTATAAATACATACAGCTTGTGTTCCTATATCTACTTGAACTTAAGCACAGGGAGAGTGACACAGTCAGACAGTGAGACAGTGACACAGTTCACAGTGAGGCAGTGACACAGTGAGACAGTGACACAGTGAGACAGTGACACAGTGAGACAGTGACACAGTGAGACAGTGACCCAATGACACAGTGACCCAATGACACAGTGAGACAGTGACACAGTGAGTCAGTGAAACAGTGGGACAGTGAGACAGTGACACAGTGAGAGAGGGAGACAATGACACAGTGAGACAGTGAAACAGTGAGACATTGACAGAGTGAGACAGTGACACAGTGAGACAGTGAGAAAGCAAGACAGTGAGACAGTGACACAGTGACACAATGACACAGTGAGACATTGACAAAGTAACACAGTGACACAGTGAGACAGTGAAACAGTGTCACAGTGAGACAGTGACAAGTTGATACAGTGACACAGTGAAACAGTGACACAGTGAGACAGTGAGACAGTGACACAGTGAAACAGTGACACAGTGAAACAGTGAAACAGTGACACAGTGAGACAGTGACACAGTGAGACATTGACACAGTGAGACAGTGACACAGTGAGACAGTGACACAGTGAGACAGTGACACAGTGAGACAGTGACACAGTGAGACAGTGACACAGTAAGACAGTGAGACAGTGAGACAGTGACACAATGACACAGTGAGACAGTGACACAGTGAGTCAGTGAAACAGTGGGACAGTGAGACAGTGACACAGTGAGAGAGGGAGACAATGACACAGTGACACAGTGGGACAGTGAGACAGTGAAACAGTGACACAGTGAGACAGTGACACAATGACACAGTGAGACAGTGAAACAGTGACACAGTGAGACACAGTGAGATAGTGACACAGTGAGACAGTGTCACAGTGAGACAGTGACTCATCGAGACAGTGACACATCGAGACAGTGACAAAGTGAGACAGTGACACATCGAGACAGTGACAAAGTGAGACAGTGACAAAGTGAGACAGTGACACATCGAGACAGTGACAAAGTGAGACAGTGACAAAGTGAGACAGTGACACATCGGGACAGTGACAAAGTGAGACAGTGACACATCGAGACAGTGACAAAGTGAGACAGTGGCACATCGAGACAGTGACAAAGTGAGACAGTGACACATCGAGACAGTGACAAAGTGCGACAGTGACAAAGTGAGACAGTGACACATCGAGACAGTGACAAAGTGAGACAGTGACACATCGAGACAGTGACAAAGTGAGACAGTGACAAAGTGAGACAGTGACAAAGTGAGACAGTGACACATCGAGACAGTGACAAAGTGAGACAGTGACAAAGTGAGATAGTGACACATCGAGACAGTGACAAAGTGAGACAGTGACAAAGTGAGACAGTGACAGTGTTGTTTGGTTCCTTTATTTGACTTTGATGACCAGGAGCAGGGCTTTGGAGGATTCATAAAAACGTGTTTTAAAAAGGGGGGACGTGTATGATAAAACTGATTTCAAAACTGATGTGACGTCAGCATAGTATCAAAAGACAAAAGTCACATGATCTATCAAGGAAATATGAAAAATCCATTCTCAAACTTACCTCCTTAGGCAAATGCCTCTTCAAAAAACTCTTCAAGAAAACGTCCTGGGTGTACTGATTATCAAGTCGTGGCCTCTCTTGAAAGAAGGGGCCCAGCTTAGCGTGGGCAAACGGGGGAGTAGCATTCCCGCTGCCCACCTCCTCCTGCTCTACCTGGGGCCGCGCCCCTGTCACGTGACGTGATGGGACCCCCGTCGTGTTGGTCGTCGTGGACGCCTGACGCCGTGAGCAGCGCTGACCTCTCCGTTGACCACCGATCGTTCCCTTGTGGCTGCAGGAGCCCAAGTAGAGAAGTGATCGTGGAGATAGTTCAACAGCAGTTTGGACAGTCCTACCCACGTTGAGCATGTTTCATTCAATTTTTTTTTTTTTGATGTTTCTGCCCCTATTACATGTCACAATTGTAATATGTATCACAATTATAATAAGTGTCACAATTATAATGTCACGAGCACGGATCCTCCTTTAACTGTGTAGTGGACAACATGTATGAACTCGTAGACAAGAAAATAAGCACGGACTATCAATGATGTGCTGTTGAAAGAATCGGCTGTGTATTCAAATGCAACGCACTGCACAGTTCAAAGTTCATGCAGCACCATCCTAAATATGTCACTTAGTTTCCCCGCAGTCCTACTGCCATGTGTCATTACCGTCCTTGGCCCTGTGACCTTGCGTTAGAGGCAGACGGGTAAGTAGAGCAGCGTTTCCCAAACTTAAGTTTGGTGGACCGGTCGACTAGTTTCGCAAATGTCGCCAGGGGTCCAAGGGAGATATTAAAAATTTAATTTTCTTTCTATTTCACTATAAATATTTATGTTGACGGACCGGAAATTGAGAGAGCCAATTCTTTAGGGTGGTGTTCTTTCTGTGGCATACGAAGGGTTAGTGCAACCCGGGGCTGCCCAATGGTTTTGCCGCCCCACTTCCACGGGAAAAAAAACGCCCACTAAAGTTGGCCGAAAATGCCTCCCCGCCATCTAAAGACAAAAGTGCCGCACGAGCCTTCTTCCTACGTCACTGAGTCAACTACACGATAATGATAATAATAATAATAATAATAATAATAATAATAATAATAATAATAATAATAATAATAATGATAATAATAATAATAATAATAATAATGATAATAATAATAATAATAATAAATTATTATTATTATTATTATTATTATTATTATTATTATTATTATTATTATATAATAATAATAATAATAATAATAATAATAATAATAATAATAATAATAATAATGATAATAATAATAATAATAATAATGATAATGATAATGATAATAATAATACTAATAATAATAATAATAATGATATATTTGCTTAAAGAATTGTAGGATAGTGTAACAAAATGATTTGTTTGAGATTCTGGCTTTAGTGGACACAGAATGGATTTGATGAAACACAAGTCCTTACCTAGAGAACTAGTTGATGTTCAAGTCTGGCTTAAGTGGACACACAATGGCAAAGTCCTTACCTAGGGAACTAGTTGTTGTTGCTGTTATTGTTGTTTTTGTTGATGCTGTTGCTGTTCTTTTTGTTGTTGTTGTTGTTGTTCAAGCGGAATCTACGGACCCCCAGGAATGCGTCCGATATTTAGTAGATAGAATTAATCCTTTTCACAACGCCGATCTTAGCGTCGGTTCACACTATCAAATTTTCCTTCAAACATGTAATGCCAACTTTGTGTGAAGCCTTGTCACAACTTTTAAATCATCATTTGATAAAATTACGATGGCATGCAATTTATTTAAGTATTATTGCCCAACACTAAAAATAAAAATAAGTTCATCAATCTAGATCGTGTTTTTATTGACTAAAATAAAAAAAAAAAAAAAAAAAAAAAAAAAAAAAAAAAAAAAAAAAAAAAGAATTATTAATTAATTTAGAAAAAAGAAATAATAATAGATAATAATTATAAAATAAATGGGCGTAGGGCACGATATTTATTTTTTTTAAAAGGCTTTTTACTTTAAAAATGATAATAATACTCCCGTAACTGTATGTAGCCGTAGCACTATGCTAGTCACTAATTGTGGTGACTAATCACTAAGACTAAGTTAGATTAATGATAAATAATTTATAATTTTTTACTAGTTTCTGCTTTCTGCTACGGCTAGCATCTGCGACTTTATTTATAAATGTTTCTATCGAGGCCAGCAATTGAGAAACAATTTTTTAAGCGATTACTATGTGACTATGTCTAAACTAAGTGACTCTCTCGGAATTCTGATCCACACAACTCAGTCGACAACTTACATGACATTTTTGAATTTTGCATAGCATGATTTTAATTACCTTTATAATATTCAAATATTCCATTACATTTAAATTGTCACTATCTATTTGTATTGAAAATTTCATTGCAGTAGTTTTATTATTTTAAAAGTTATGTATTTAAATCTAAAAAATTTCTCGGCCGTGGTTGCTCTTATTGAAATAATTTTTCTAATATTTCATAAATTTTTCTGATCTGCATTTTATTTATTTTAAATTTGCCTTACTTTAAGATGTACATTATCTGTTTTATTTGAAAATTGTATATCAATAACTTCATTTGTTTAATAATTATGTCATTTTTTGTACAATTATATTTTTCGACACTTGACGTTATCCACGCCATATGCTCATAAAGTCAGATGTTATTAAAAAAATAATTTAATTCACAATTCATGTGTTTCGTTTTGTTAAACATTATATTGTTCATGTCCCCTCCAAATTTTAGCGCTCTAACTTTAATAGTCAAAAGGATACAAAAGGATAATACAAACAAAATAGTATGCTACCAAGCCAACAGAGCAATAATTCGAACACAAATTAATTAAATACAAAGCCAAATAGGGGGGGGGGGGAATAAATCACTAATTAATAACTAAAAAATTCATAACTTTTCGCCCTATAAATGATACAAAGACCATCTTGGTATCAGTGGAAAGCTTAAAGCCAGCTCGTTCCAACAATATTGCCCCTTGCCCTTGTATGTGTCAGTTGGATTTAAAAATTTAAAGAAAAAAAAAAAAAAAAAGAAAAAAAAAAAAAAAAAGAAAACAACAAAACCAAAAAACAAAAAAAAAGAAAACAAATTAAAAAAAAAAAAAGCCAAATAGGGGGGGGGGGGAATAAATCACTAATTAATAACTAAAAAATTCATAACTTTTCGCCCTATAAATGATACAAAGATCATCTTGGTATCAGTGGAAAGCTTAAAGCCAGCTCGTTCCAACAATATTGCCCCTTGCCCTTGTATGTGTCAGATGGATTTAAAAATTTGAGTTGGCGTACCTGGCAACTGTGTCAACCATCTTGAGTGCCGACTAGCATATTTTTTTGTTTTATTTCAGTACTAAGTAACTAAGTCATAAACAAAATAAAAACATTAATAAAGCTTATTTAAATTCTTCAAAAATGGTTTAGGAGCAGGGTTTTTTTGGGACGAACTCGACACTGGACAATTTTTTTTTTTTCATCCCCCAGCTGAGGCTCGACAAAATTAAAAGGAGTTGACTGAAGGGACGTTGAGTATTTCAAGAACTATTTACTGTTATTTAAACTGGATGTCGGATAAGTGAGAAATTTTACCAGCACGAGCTCCTGGCAAGGAAAATATTGCTCCAGAGCTCTAGATCTCTAATTACAAATAACAATTAGAAATTATATTTTCCAAAATCAACCCCCCCCTCACCGGATATTGTAGCACATGGATGCCCCACAATGAAATTAAAATTAAACTGTTCAACTTTTTTCACGATAAAGTTACTTATTTACTTTAGGTCAATTATGAAATAGTTTTTTCTGTGTCAACCCGTTAGGTCTACTTTTTAAATATTTCCACAGAAAAACATAAAACTTAGTATTATTCTGTTAGAGATGTATTGTAGACCTCTATTTCTCTTCTTTTGTATGTTGACGCTTGTGACTTTAAATACAAGACATGTTTAAGTCGGCGACCTTCACCTTCAGTTGAGATATAATCCCAGTCAATAGCTTCCATTTCTGAAGGATACTGTTACATTGTACAAGTAAAGTTATGTTCTACTCCACATTCATAAATAAGTCAATTAAGAAGGAAAAAAAAAACAATCAATATAATTTTTTGAGTCATTTAAATGTTAATTTAAAGAATTTTTCGACAAGATTTGAGATAGTTAGAAAGGAGAAAATGCAGTAGACAGTAGACTTCTTCTCTGTCTCATAACTGCCAGTGAAGCATAGGCCGCTATTACTTTCCAAGCCTTCTAGTCTCTAGATATCTTTTCCAGCTCTATCAAATCTTTATAACTGGGTACATTTTTGTCAACTTTAATTTACTAAGGAAATCATTTCTTAATTATGCATTAAAATGTATAGTAGGCCTACACTCATTTGTAGTACTCTGCAATAGGTTAAAAAATTTATATTGATTACAATTATCTATAGTTTTATAATTTATATACTGAATACTGGTACTCTAACTTAAAATCTGCTCCAAACTATGACAGATAATATATTAAGGAGTGGTAATCTCCTTTTAAAAATAATTTAAATATAAAAATCCAATCACAGATTTCACAAGAACTCAGAAATAAAATTGTTAATATTTTATTAAAATAAGCAGTGCTGAATGAAATTATCAAGAAGCACTACAAGTAATAGTAGCCATTCCAAATTTTCAAACAGGAAGGATGTCTCAATCATAGTTGACTATAAAGATTCTGTCATTTCTTTTTTTTTTTTTTCAAGTTATGGGATTGTGAATGCTTGTCATTGTTGAGTTTAATAATTTCTGAAAGAAACAAAAAAGAAATATATTTTATTTATTACCAATACAAATATTTTTAAAAATATATAGGCCTACATTATAAAGGTAAGATCAAACTACTACTTATTTTAAAGAGCAAACGTTTATATTTCCCAGTTATCATGCATTACATATATGTTGTTTGAACAATGAAGCAGACAATAAAGCAACTGAAATTTGGAATTTTCTAATTTATTCAAGCTTTTGGTGGAAAGAGTAAGACTAATCAAAAGCCTCCCATATTTGTATCATAGGTTTTCAATTATAAATTATAATAATTATATTTCTCTATGTTAAATTGATGCTGCCACTTTATTTGAGTGGAAATTTTGATTGGAAAAGTACCTGATGGATTAGTTTAATAGAAGATGAGTGGTAAAATGCCCATTCGAACCCTTTTAGGTGGTCACACCCAAACTGGGGAAACCCTTATAACAACTTTAATAATAATAAGGACAAAATGTCATCATTAAAATTGCAATCATGCTTTTTTCTACTTAACATTTTGTATATTTTTAGCAGAAATTTTTTTTTTTTCATTTTAGTTATTTAATGAGAATATAAAATTGTAATAAAATTGGCACCAATGGAGAACAAATATGGTAATGAGATTTTATTGTGATATTAAAATAAGTGTCATAAATATTTAAGAGCTTTACATCTGTAGTTAAGAAACTGGCTAAAAATGTCAAAATAATTATAATTTTAAAGTATCTTTGTGTATACATTAATAATATATTGAAATGTATAATATTAAAATAATTATGGTAGTTCCAATAAAACAATTAAGTTTCTACATATAACCCATTTTATGCCTGCAAATGTGAATGATCAATGAATGACATTT